GCATCTCTTTATTGAGCTTGACACTTTCTTACTCTGGATTCTAATCTTTAGCTCTATAAATCTCAAATCCGTCCTTGTATGGAATACTGTTGCCATATCTAGGGCGGATCTTCGAATGATGCCCTTTTCTCTTTTAGACAAGGTGCAAAAACGCATTGTAAACATAGTAAGACCTGCTCTTGCAGCCAACCTCCAACTATTATCATATCGTCATGTTGCTTCTCTTTCTCTTTTTTACAAATATTATAACGGGCACTGCACTAAAAAGCTAGCTTCTCTTGTGCCATCTATCCATTCATTCTTGTATTAGTTATCATTCAATTAAGTCTCATTCTTTTTCTGTGACTGTTCCTAAGTGCTCCAAAAACTCTTATTTATTTAGATTTTCCCTCGAACATTGGTTCTTTGGAATTCGCTTCCTTTATCTTGTTTACCTGATGCATATAATTTGCAATCTTTTAAGTCATCTGTCAATCATTATCTTGCTCTATAAACTTCATCTTTTCTCTCTCTGTTACTTCCAACTCTAGTAATCCAACTCTGGTTGCTTGCAACCTTGTTGGAAACGAAGATTTTTTTTTTTTTAAAAAAAGGATAGTTTTTCAAATTTTATCAATGTTTTTTCCTAATCATCATGCTAATTTTTTACATAAAATATGTCTCTTCATCATAGATTATCGTAGATTATTATAAGCAAAAGAAAATCTAAAATCTTTTTTTCTTAAAAAAAGGGAGAAGTACTTTTGTTTAAGAGAATTCTTTTCACAAATGCATTTTTTGTTTCTTATTAAATTGGTAACTGATAAAAATTAAAATAAATAAATAAATTGTGACAAAGAAACAAAAGAATATATTAAGTATAAGATTGTTTGAAGAAATAAATAGTAAGGAAAATTTTTTTCAAATACTGAATTTAGATTCAATTAATAATTTTGTGAAATTAGTTTAAATAAATTTTAGCGTGGTCAAAAATTAAATTTTTTAACATGATACTTTAAAATACTTTCAAAATATCAATAGTTTTTAAACTCCTGTAAAAAATAAGATTTTAATAATTACAACACATTAAAAGCAAAAGGTTTTAAAGTATTTGTAAATTGTTTTTTTATATTTATCAATACTTTGTTGTAAAAACAATTGCATATTTTTTTTGATAAAAAAAGTGTTCAATTTAAGAGAAAAACCTAATGGCGTATAAGTCGACATGTGCTTTATCTAAAAGTAGAAGAATGAATGTTATCAATAGCATTTTTATTTATGCAAATTGTTTCTAGCCTAAACATAGCCCTTTAGTGAAAAATGACTAGAATATGCGAGAAATCCGCTGAAGCAAAAGTTTTTATAAAAAAAAGAGACAGGCAACTCAAAAAGTCGGCAGGGTACCAAAATTGATGAACTAGTAACTTTCAGTGGCCCTTCTGGCGACCGACCAAAAGCCCAAGTGTACACCCCTATGTATGTAAATAAATGTATATACTTATATATACACACAGGTTTCGACAGTAATAAATGAGTGCAAACCTGTGAATCACCAATCTAAAACGGATATGGTGAGTGATATGGGCGATGGTCTGAGTTGAGTGTATACACTCACATGTTTTACCTATCTAGGTCCTTAAATATATGTACACTCGTCTCATGTTTTACCTAATAAGGTCAGCCAATGCACCTACACTCTTTTCAATGTTCTACTTATATAAGATAAAATTAAATTAACTTTTATTAAATTAACCTTATTTTAAAATGAATAATAAAAACGGTATAAAACATTAAAAAAACAAAAATATTTTGCATTAAAAAAAAAAGATTTAAGTTAAAAAAAGATTTAGTTAAGATTTAAGTTAGTGTTCAGGCATAGTTTAAAAAGACAACACAGATGACAAAAGATAACACAGGTAACAAATGACAACACAGATAACAAAAGATAACACAGATAACAAAAGACAACACAGATAACAAAAGATAACACAGATAATAAAAGATAACAGAGATAACAAAAGATAATATAAATAAAAAAAGACAAAGTAATTAAAAGTGTTGATTTTGAACTAGGATTAATTGTGGTTTTGCCTTGCATTTTGAATTTTTTAGAGTTTCTTTATACAGCGGAGTAACTTTTTTAAAGACAGTTTCATTAATTCATATGGAAGATAATCATTGTTATTTATCGGGAAGGATTGCAACCAGAATAAATCGCAGATCAAAATCAACAAAAAAAACATAGTAAACATAACATAAACGTTCCATTTATAATTGGTACAACCCACCCTTTAGCTTAAATGTTAAAACAAAAACAGAAAACCATTTTCTAGCACTAATTGACTTACATTTCCCAGCTGGCAACAAGCTACATAAAATATTCAACCAAAAATCTATCAAGATTAGCTTCAGTTGCATGCCTAACATAAAGTCCATCAGAAATTTGCATATTTTAAAAATTTTTCATAATGAAAATCAATTAAAAACCAAGCAATGTAAACTGCCTAGATAAAGTATTTTGCTCTTTGAATAACCAGTGTTTGTCTACCAAGCAATTATAAGTTCCAGTGATCATGAACATAATACAAAAAAATATTATGGCGTTAGTCATACACTATTTAAATTAAAAAAAGCAAACCATCTCAAATGATTTGCATCAGTTAAGTATAGAAATGTCACAGGACTCTCTAAGGAAATATGGAGCTTAAAAGACCAAAACATAAAGCCTATTATAAAATGGAAAAGTATCAAACATTGCAAACCCTACAATCTAGTAACAAAAATATGCCACCTTTATCACATAATGGTAAAAACCTACTGAAAAAAAACAAAAACGATATTGTATCTCAGTGTCAGCATTCATAATTCAGTATATATATATATATATATATAATATATATATATATATATATATATATATATATATATATATATATATATATATATATATATATATATATATATGTATATATATATATATACATATGTGTCAGCATTCATAATTCAGTATATATATATATATATATATATATATATATATATATATATATATATATATATATATATATATATATATATATATATATATATATATATATATATATATATATATATATATATATATATGTATATATATATATATATATATATATATATATATATATATATATATATATATATATATATATATATCAGCGTTGCCAATTCATAAAATAAAGATATATATATAAGGCCTTGTTTTAACGCTTTAAGCAATTTTACGTACGCCTAGAGCATGTGTGTAGTTATCCATTAAACGACTTTTATCATTTTTTAAACTTTCCATTAAGCAACTTTTAATCATTTTATATAAGCTATAAGACAAAAGTTATAAATTTATAAAAAACCACATTAACTTTTGAATGATCGATTTTTGAATGAGAAACTATTGAATGAATTTGAAAAAAGTTTGTTACAAAACTTTGAATGAAATTATGTTAAATATAAGCGCTATTTACTAATGAAAAAAAAACCAAATAAAATTAAAACTACAAAAACTTAAATTCTATTAAGCTAATTATTTTATCAAAATAATTATTACAACAACAACAACTTTTTTTTTTGTATACAAAGTTACTAAATGAAATGTAAAAAAAAAAACATAAAAGAAATTTATATAATAAAAACTTTTATTTATCATCTTGTGAGCACAAAAATAATTATACAACTTTTGATTGCAGTAAAAAAAAATTTACTTAAATTTCTATTTAATAATAAAAAAAAAAAAAAAAATTATTTTATCTTTATTTCATATTATATTTTATTTTATTATTTTTTTAATTGTAATTATTGATTTTTTTGTTTGAAAAATTCTAATACTATATCAGATCATATAAATAATATCTCGTTGAATTAAATAATATAATTATCTATAATAGATCATAATTATATTATTTAATTCTGATAAAAAATATATGATTTAATTTAAAACTAATTTAATAAAAATATATAACTTAATACTGATAAAAAAAATGTATAATTTAACTTTGATTAAAAATATATATAATTTAATTCTGATTAAAAAATATATTTAAATTTATTAAAATTAAAGTTAATACTTAGGTTTAACTTAACTGCTATATTTATTTAAAAATATGAAAAATTGTTCAATACTTAAATTTTATTTATTCTAAAAAAAAATTAGCTTATTTTTATTGCAATTGTTTTTTCCTTCCTAAACATTTTTTTTTTTTTTTTTTTTACTCAAAATCAAATTTAAAAAAAATGTGTTCCAAGACTGCACCAAAAATTTGTACAAAATGTAAGTAAATAAATGTAAGTAATTTACAAAAAAAAATGTAATTTAAACTTTTTTTATAGTTAAAGTTAAAGAGCAGCAATTATTTTAAAAAAATTAAATATATACAGCAATATAATTTGAATAAATGGTGTTTCAAAAAATAATCTTTGCTTTCACAACAAAATTTCTAATAAAAAAATTAACATCTAAGAAATAAAGTAAATAAATTAACGTAATTTTTTTATTTGTTACTCTCTAATTTTTAGTTGTAAAGCCGCAATTAAAATCATTTTTAGTTGTAAAGCCACAATTAGAAATTTAAGAAACAATCATTTTAAAAAATTTAACATATTTTAACTCATTTATACAAATGTTGAGAAAAAAAAATTGTTTATATTAAATATTTAAAAAAATGCCATGTTAAACTTAATTATTTAATATAAAAAAAAATTGAAAGAAAATAAACATTCCCTAATAGTAATAATAAAAAACAAGTTAATCAATATTTAACTTGTTTTGCGGTAATTAATATCATTGGAGTTACTTAAAAAAGTTTATTTATATATATATATATATATATATATATATATATATATATATATATATATATATATATATATATATATATATATATATATATATATATTCAATATGACAATAAATATTCTTATTGTCCTAATAAAAAATTAATTTCAAATTTTTAAAATATATAATTTGTAATACTATTTTAAAATAATATTACCTCTTTTGAAAGTGTACTTAGTATCTTTTGTCTGGAATTTAACTCTCTACGAATCCATGCGGCTTGCTCATCACTGTTATCCAGCTATAAAAAAAGTTTTCAATGTAAAATATACAAAATAATAAAAAAAGAGTCAAATTTCTAAAATCTTGTATATTCTTTATATATTTATTTAAACTTTGTAGAATGTAAAGATATCATAACTCAAGAAAAAATATATAAATTATATCACTTAACATAGAGTAAACTGGGGTAAGAGTAACCGGGAAAAAAAAGCAAACGGTTTAGCAATTTTGTTTCTCTAGCATTTATCAATAGCTAAAACAAAAAATCTTTAAATATGTGAGGCACCGTATTGTAGAGAATATTGTGCTCTATCTAAAGATGTCAAATTTATTTTTGCCTTAGCAAACTTTATAACTCTCACCCTAGTAAAAAAAAAAAAAGTATTTTTTCAAAAAAATTAACTTTAAAACTTGCAAAACTGAAATTAAATTTTACCAAACTAAAAAACTAATTAAATACTACTTAACTAAAAACCATTTCATAGAAAATTTTATGATGATAAAGATTCTCTTCAAAATATGTTCAAAAGATTCTCTTTACAAAATTAAATTTGTTATTTCTGGAAAAAGGTTATGAGCAAAAAAAAGATAAATGTTTTCCGGGGAAGAGTAAACATATTAATTGCTCACACTTACACATTAAACGCGGCTAAATTAATTAATTAAAATGTAAATAAATAGCAAAGACTATCTATCAAAAAAATATAATCTATATAAAAAATCTTTAGATAGATAGCCTTTACAATCTATCTAAAAATTTGTAAATCGCAAACAAATTACACTGAAGAGCAACTTGCAGTAGAACAAATCAAAAAAAGCAAAATATTACTCAATAAAACTTTAGAAGCATACAACATACCAACTCTTTGTGTGCACAACAAACTCCAATCAGGGCAACCCAGAGGAGAGGGGGGCCACTGGGTACATTTTACCTAGGCACACGGACAAAGGGGGCACATGAGTTTCTCAATAAATTGCAAACTTTCACACAGGAAATTATCAAAAAGCAAAAAAAAAAGGAATATTATTTACATAACTTTAAGCAAAAAATCTGAACAAAAAGCTTGTTTTAAAACATTATCAATGTTATGTTACATAAATCAGTTAAGTTACATTCATTCCAACACTTTTCAAATATTCTTTCTCAATACATTCATTTCAATTAATTTGATATAGTGCAGTGCCATTTAATTCTTTTTCTCTTTAATTCCTTTGAAAATTAAATTCTATATAAAAAACTCATTTTGATTTCAAAATAAATGAAAATTTTTTTTATTTTATTTAAAAATAAGTAACACACATCTTAGAGTCAAAACGCCATGTCCAGTTTTCAGAATCATGATTCAGGGTCCCAAGGCAGAAAAAAAGCTGAAGAAAAAGTTATAAAAGAATATAAGAAGAAATGTGCACTGGAAGAGTGTGGCTTCAATATAGTTCAAAAAAAATAAAAGCATCTAATAATTCTACATCTGACCAAGTAGTCAAGATTTAGGTTAAAACCTTTATTTTTTATTCAATATCTTATATTCTTAATTTCATTCCAAAAAAGTTTAAAAAAAATTTTTTTTTAGACGGATCATGCTACCAACAGCGTTGATGAACCCTTGAGTCCAAGAAAGCCCTCTTCCCCTTCAAATTTTTCAACAGTTTCTGAAGAAGATGATAATTGGGTGAGTTTGGGACGCATTTTTATTTTATTAAAAACCTGCAGATATCAAAAACACATCATATAATATCTGGAGATTCTAAAAACATATCATTTAATATCTGCAAATATTAAAAACATACCACAATTCTCAAATGCTTTTTTTAATTTAGTATCAAGAGACGATCCAACTGGGTGATAAAGCAGTTAGAAACAAACCCGCTTTGTGGAAGAGGATTTTCTCCAAAGTCTAATGCGAACTAGCCATACTAAATGGACCACATCAAAATCCTGCTCTTTTTCCTAGAAATTCTACAAACCAAAAAGTCCCTGCCTCTGTTTTTTACGAAACTTCTCTCAATGGAGAGAAAATTAAACAGAGACTGGATTATCTGGAGTGGAACTGCAAAAGCTTTTGTTTGTTTTCCCTGCTCTATTTTTGAACAAAAGCATAATTTTGGCCATGGATTTTTAGTTTTTCCTTTTGATGTGGAATGGCGGAATAAAAGATAATTGGCAAAAGCTAGGAGAAAAGACTAAAAGTCACCAGTTTAATGTTCAACACAGAAATCACTACATTGTCTGAAAATCAGCCTTTAATCAATTCAGAACTTGAAAAGTTAATAAAAAATGAGGCATCTAAGTGGTATGAAATTTTACACTGCGCCCTGGACATCACTCTCCCTTTAGTTTCAAGAAAATTTTAAAGGTGTGCTAGCAGTTTATGTTCATAAAATAATTTAGGGGCCAGGGCTGTGATAACGGAGCTAATATGTCCAGTGTATACAAAGGAGTACAGACCATCATTCTTAAGAAAAATTCTCAAGCTTAGTTATATAGCTCATTATAGCTGGTGTTCATTCTGCAGAATCCTCTACTGTTGTATAACCTATTTAGTAGTAGCCCAATGGGCTGGAAACTTTTGACTGATGTAACAGTGCAGTAATATAATCACGCATAGAGGTTGTCCAGCCATTATCAAAACAAACATTCGGCATGAATGTTTGCAGATGTCATCACAACAGTTGAAAATCAAAGTTATTTGTTTCCACCAAACAATATACCAGGTCAAGAATGGTATCAAGGTTTCAGAAAATGGTCATAAATAATAAATAATAAGCCTCAGAGTTGCTATATTTTGTACAATATTTCTTCTTCTTGTACCGAGGACAAAATAACAAGATATTTCAATACACTTCAAAAACAATTACTTTTCCAATACACTTCAAAAACAATTACTTTTCCTCTTATAATTGTGGAAAAGTAAACGCTTTTTTTCTTCATAAAAATCAACTTTTTTTTTTTTAGTTTCAAAATATTTCCTTAAATTTTTATATACTTATATGATGCAGGCTTGGACAGGAATGGCTTGTGAATGAAACTCAAACTCAAATTTTTGTAATCAGATTAAAAACATTTTTCCATAAGACCAAGAACAACTTTAAAAAATTATTTTAATATTAAAACTTTATTAATACTAAATTAAGTCATTTAAATTGGTTTGGTGAAGTTTTTACTTACACAACTTGCATTTATGCATATTGCCTTATTTCCATTAGGTTGAATTTTTTAAATACTGTAAAGTAATTACATTTAAATGTTTTAAAATTCTTTTGACGTAAAAACTGCTATCACAGTTTAGGATTGAGAGGGGTATATGTGATCGTTTGTAACAGGAGGGAAAAGAATTGACAAATATAGAGTGAAGTGTTTCTGGATGACTCCCCAAACAAACAATTTGTTTTACTAAAACAAAAATTAAAGATTTTAACTGATTTTTTTATATTAGAAAAATAGCAAATAAATCTTTTTTTTAAAGTCTAAATAAAAGTATTTATATAATTCTTATTTTTATTTATTTATTTACATTTATATGTCAACCAAAATAAGAATACATAAACAAATAAAAAAAAAACAATATAAATAATTTTAATTAACATTAAAAATATATATATTTTTTATTTAAATTCTCCTAAGGGATCGTCCATAAATTACATAACGCAAACTTTCACAATAAGCATAACAAAAAAGATCAAAAGTTTTCCTTGCAGTCTAATGAAAAAACAAATTAAAATAGTACATTAATTTAATGAAAATTGCTGCGTAAAAGAGCTTATTATCACCTAAATCTGTTTTTTTTTTTTTTTTTTAATATTTTGCATTGTGTAATTTATGGACAATCCCTAATATAAAAAGTTTCAGTTAGAACCTTGTCAAACCAACGTGACGAAATAATAGTTACTTAATGATGTTAGCAAAAAAATTTTGAAAAATGAACATCATGTCTCCTTACTTTTACTTAAGCAAACATTGGTATTTACCTTAAATTTTTAAAAACAAAAATAACTTCAGCAATTTTATTTTCCAAAAAATTATGCGATTGATAGTTTTTTATTTATTATAAAAACAAACATAATTATTAATAAAAAACAATAAGTTACTAAAATTTAAAATGCATTTTTAACAAAAATAAAATAAACCCCTCTAATGCTTTCTTCAATGGCGTTACTTTTAAGTTATTCAATTAAGTACGCATTTGAAGCAAGTACTTATGTTTTAGCATGGTATTTACATGCATTTACAAAAGAATGGGAAATTTTAGCTAAAAATGAATGCAAAATGAATGCATTAATTTAAAAGAAACCATGCTAAAACATTGCTTTCTTCAAAAGTGTGCTTTTTTTTAATACTCTTATTATTGTTAAATTAAAGTAATGTTTGCTTTCCCTTTTCAAAGTTTTGAAAAAAATTTTTTAGTTTGCAGAAATATATATAATTTAATAGAATATATAGAACTTTTATGCTTATTATAGTTTTCACTTTTTACTGTACGTTTAATAACACCAATAATATGATATTTGATTTTTTACTGTGCATTTAACAACACTAATTTTTTATTAATTTATATTTTTTTATTAAATACTTAATATTATATTATAAATATAACAACATCATAATTGGTATTTAATAATAACTTAATATAATAACTTATTAAATATTTAATATTATATTATTATTTTTAAATATTTTAAAAAGAAATGTCAAAACAACTTTTATTTTATTTTAAGTTCCCTTTTATTTAAATTTCTTCAAGTGGGGGGCACATGCCTTCCCCCTTTTCTCTGTGTTGTCTGCCCTGTTATTTGACATACCTCTTAAATTAGACGTTTGTCAATAAATTAAGAAACAAACATCAACAATCAAATGAAAAATGGTTTAAAAAAAAAAAGATTTTTCGTGCCCTGCTACAGGCTTTCACAGGAAGACGTGCGATTTAATGTCTTTATATGACCACGCAAAAAAAAATGTTTTAACGATTTGACCATGGCATATTTTTAAAATTTAAAAACGCGCTACAAAAACTTACCTAAAAT